GATCTTCTGCCTGGTCTAACCTACTTTTAATACTTTCAAGGGAGGTTTTGCTTTCCTGTATCACATTCTTCAACCCTAGAAGTTCCATCTGGTTCTTGTTTGAGGTATCCATTTCTTCTTTCAAGTCATGAAAGGACTTCCTCATCTCCTGGAGCTCCTTGTCTCTTTTCTCTTCCATCTCAGTTAGTTTGGTCCCTACAAGTATTCTGAATTCCTTATCAGACATGTCCATGATATCCCTTGTATTGACAGTGGGTGATGTAGGCTTGATGATTTCCCTTGAGGGAGAGGCCTTTTGTTGGATGCTCATATTTCTTGAGCCTCGGCGATTGTTCCTAGTCATCAGGTAATCTATATGTTTCTTCCTAACTTACTTAAGGTATCTCTGAGTTTTGAAAGTTGTACAGGATTAGGAAATTGATGATTTCTCTTATGGTTGACCTACCTGTTGCTCACAATTACCATTAACTGTTGCCACTAGCCCTGGATAGCCCAAAGTCCTCCCTGTTTCTAAGGAGTGGTGAGCCTCCAACACCTCAAGAGCAAAGAAGCAACACCTCAAGAACAAAGAAAAACGTAACAAAAAAAAAAGAAATCACCAAAATTCAGAGAGTCCAAAGGCTAGTGGGAAAAGGCCAGAGGATGAGTGACAGAACCAGGTTGGTCAGGCCTGCACTAAACATAGATGAGCAAGTGCCTTTCCAAAAGAGTGTTTTCCTATCCTTTGGATAAATACTAAGGAGTGGAATTACTAGGTCATATGGTAGTTCTATTTGTAGGTTTTTGAGGAACCTCCATATTGATCTCCACAGAGTTTTTACTAATTTACATTCCATCAATGGTATAACAGGTTTCCCTTTTCACCACACCCTTGCCAGCCCTTGTCATTCTTTATTTTTTTTTTATCTTAGCCGTTCTAACTTGGGCTAAATGGTATTTAATTGTAGGTAGTTTTAATTTGCATTTTCTTTATGACAAGAGATTTAACATTTTTTCATAAGCCTTTGACTATAAATAAATGTTCTTTGGACAGTTTTCTATTCAATTCATTTGCCCACTTTTTAACTGGATTTTTTTTTTTTAATGGACAAGCTGCTAGAGTATTTTGTATTGGGTCATTGGAAAAGTCATGACACATTTTTGCATAGAAAAACAGATAAATATATTATGACTTTTTCAATGACCTAATATATTCTCTATAAGAATTCCTTGTCTGAGGAACAATTTGTAAATATTTTCTTTCATTCTGAGAGTTGTCTTTACACTCTAATTATTGTTTCCTTTGCTGTGAGGACCTTGATGTCCATTTGTCTCTTTTTATCTGTGCCTTAAGGTTCTTATTTAAGAAACATTTGCTTATTCAAATGTCTTCAAAATCTTCCCCTACATTTTCTACTAGTTTTGTAGCTTGAGATTTTATTTTTAAATCTTTGATCCATTTTGAATTGATTGTTATTAATGGTGAAAAATAGAGGTCTAGTTTTAATTTTCTACATGTAGATATTTAGTTCTTCCAGCACCATTTGTTGCAAAGACTTTCTTGTCTCTACTGCATCATCTTGTACCCTTTGTCAAAGATCAGTTGGTTGTATGATTGGGGGTTTACTTCTGGAATCTCTGTTCTGTTTCTTTGGTTTCTGCATCTATTTTTGTACCAGTACCATGCTCTTTTGATTATTAATACTTTGTAATATATTTTGAAGTCAGGTAGGGAGATATTTCTTATTTTATTATTTTTGCACAGTATTGCCTTGATGATATAGGGTCTTTTATGATTCAAGACAAATTTTATAATTGCTTTTTCTATTGCTATGAATAATGCCACAGGTAATTGGATAAGAATAATATTGAATATGTAAATTAAATTTGGGTAAAAGTGATGTATTGACTATATTGATTCTTCCATGACCATTTGGAGTTTAAATACATATTCCTAATCAGCAAAGAGCACTAGTTGAGCAATAGCTTGCAGAGCTGTTGTCATTTTTTTTAAAGGATGCAATAGTTCTATTTGTGTATGTTTCTAATTAAGGTGCTGGATCTAGAGATATAGGGGCCGAAAAGCTCTGTTAATTCAGAGTCAGGGTGAAAACTCTATACACTTGCTATCACACATTCACGTTTCCTGTAGTCTACTTGATTCCAACCCAAGAAAAATACCTACAGATAAACACAGACACAGAAATTTGTTGCCAAGTTACAATATTTTGCGCTTCATGACTGATCCCTGTGGCTTCCTGAACAGTGCACCAGTCCAGCTAGTACCTGTTCTATTCCCTATGCCAATACTTTTCCTATTTCATAGATAAATTGTTCTAAAAGTCAGAAAGCTGATACCTGTAAAAATATAAAACTCAAATAGCCAAAAGAAGAGGTAGGATTTTACCATTATCCAGCTACACTTAGAAGAAACTTGCAAAGGGTCTCTATTGGAAAATTTACAAAGAAAATTTCACGAAGACCCCCTCAGTACAATAGTTCCCATTATTGTTGTATTCACAGTCTAAGACAAATAAATGGATTACAAATCTATAAATAACCATAAAGTGATAGATGCATGCAGGTATACTAGACAAAACACAGTTATTTAAGACATGAGTTGAGAAAAGTACATTTTCGTATAGCAAGTGCAAGAACAGATATAATTTATTCATTTATTAAGAACATAGATGGAAAAAGGACACAGTGTTTTCCAAACTAGCCAGTGTGCACACTGTTGTTGTGCTTTGCCATGGAGTTCATTCTCCAGTGTTTTCTGCTACATCTCTTGCAACTAAAATAATGGTCCAAGGCCCTCCATCTTCAGGTTACATTTTTGAGCAGGAATATAAATATGGTGCACACAATTACCATCCTCTACCTGTGGTCCTGGAGAGAGGAAAAGGTATTTATGTATGGGACATTGAAGGCAGAAAATATTTTGACTTCTTGAATGCTTATAGTGCTGTCAACCAAGGGCATTGTCACCCCAAGATTGTGCATACTCTAAGAGTCAGGAGGACAAATTGATCTTAACGTCTAGTGCTTTTTATAATAATGCACTTGGTGAATATGAGGAGTACGTTACTAAGCTTTTCAACTATCAAAAAGTTCTTCCAATGAATACAGGAGTGGAGACTGGAGAGACTTGCCCATAGATGGGGCTATCCTGTGAAGGGTATTCAGAAATACAAAGCAAAGATAGTTTTTGCAGCTGGAAACTTTTGGGGTAGAACGTTGTCTACTATTTCCAGTTCCACAGACCCTACCAGTTATTATGGTTTTAGATCATATATGCCAGGTTTTGAAATTATTCCATATAATGATTTGCCTGCACTTGAGCGTGCTCTTCAGGATCCAGATATTGCTGCATTTATGGTAGAATCCATTCAGGGTGAGGCTGGTGTTCTTGTTCCGGATCCGGGTTACCTCATGGGAGTGTGAGAACTCTGCTCCAGGCATCAGGTTCTGTTTGTTGCTGATGGAATACAGACAGGATTGGCCAGAACTGGTAGATGGCTAGCTGTTGATCCTGAAAACGTCCAACCTGACATAGTCATTCTTGGAAAATCGCTTTCTGGTGGCTTATACCCTGTGTCCTCAGTGTTGTGTGATGATGAAATTATGCTGACTATCAAACTGGGGGAACATGGGTCGATGTATGGAGGCAATCCACTAGGCTGCCAAGTGGCCATCAAAGCCCTGGAGGTTTTGGAAGAAGAAAACCTTGCTGAAAATGCAGACAGAATGGGCACTATCTTGAGAAATGAACTCCTGAAGCTACCTTCTGGTATCATAACTGCTGTAAGAGGGAAAGGATTATTAAATGCCATCGTTATTAGAGAAGCCAAAGATTATAATGCTTGGAAAGTGTGTCTGCAACTTTGTGATAATGGACTGCTGGCTAAGCCCACCCATGGTGACTTCATTAGGTTTGCACCCCCTCTCGTGATCAAGGAGGATGAGATTCAGGAGGCCGTGGAAATCATTAACAAAACCATCTTGTCTTTCTGAGCTGGAGTGGATGCAGTTCAAAGTCATGCCTGCATATGTGGCCTCAGTAGTTGTAGATAGCAACCATAGTCTAGGCTGACCAGTAGATTCCGGTAACAGCCAGAGCTGCTTTCTCTGCGACTTCTGACCATAAGAATAAAACATGAATCCGTGTGTTCAGGGAAACATCAGATTTTGCGAAAAAAGATTCCTTTTGAAGAGAGGGACAAATTGTTCAGTTGATTCTGTTGCCCTTACTATACATGGTATTTATAACTTTTCCATTTTTCTTTTTACCAGAACTGATTATTTCAGACAATTTTCTCTGTTGATATTTGTAAGTTTTTCTCATTCTCAGATGACTGTAGTATTTCATCATGTGACTATATCAGAGTTTCACCTTATGTCAGGGAACCACTTGACTTGTTTTGAGTTTTACATTCTTTAAGTAAAGCTCATATTTCAGGGAAAAAAAAAAACACAGGGCTACACAAGAGAGTGTCAAGAGTACAGAAATGAATGCAACCTAGTATTGGCCTTCAAGGGGATTATATTCAAGTTGGGTAGGGGGAAATAAGACTTCTAAAAGATTAAAAGCCATATGTTTATTCAAGATACTGCACTAGGTACAAGGGGGAAATAGAAGTGAGTGTTGGATGTGAAGAGAAAATATGGGAATGAATCTACAATGAATCACAACCTCTGAGAATTTACATATTAGTGGGGAGAAATAAAAACTGAGTGTTGGGTAATTTTATTTTATTAGAGGACTCGAGGAGATAAAAAATAATTTAATACATTTAATACTTAATCTATAAAGTCAAGGAGATAAAAAATAATTTAATACATTTAATTCTTAATCTATAAAGTTATACATGTTGCATGGCATTGTATATATGAGGTAGAGAAAGGGAAGACAGCAACAAAAAAGAAAATCTATGAGTGTAATGTGGGCCAGTGAGAGCAATATATTAGGATAAAGAAACAAATAAAATCACACATGAGAAATATCTATTCAAATCCTTGGCCTATTTTTTTTTATCAGGTCACTTATTTAGTTGTGGGAGTTTTATTTATATTCTGGATATATGCCCATTATCACACATATGATTTGTAAATATTTCCTCCAATTCCAAGGGTTTTTACATTTCTCAATGTGTACTTAAAAAGAAAATTATGTTTTATTTTCATTAAGTACAATTAATGTTTTTATTGTTCCTTGTGCTTTTCATGTCATCTCTAAACATTGTCTAACCTAAAGGCATGAAGATCTTCATCTAAGTTTTTTTCTATCTAAGCATTTCATAGTTTTAACACGTATATTTAAATCTTTGATTCATTTTGAGTAAATGTTTTCCTAAATTATTTATTTATTTTTATTTGTCATTATTATTTTTGAATTTTGACCACAGAGAGACACAGAGAGAGAAAGGGAAGTGAGAAAGCAAGCCACCAGGTCAGGGACTCGAAAGGTCAACCATTACAGAGTCCATCCAGCTCCTTAACCACCACGCCACCTGTCACCCCAGTTTTGAGTAAATGTTTATACGTGGTGGGAAATCAGGATCCAACTTTTTTGTTTTGCATGTGAATATTCAGTTTTCCAGCACCACATATTTAAAAACTATATTTTCTGGGACCAACAGTTAGCATAATGGTTATGTTGCTGGACTCCCATGTAGTCGACCACGGTTCGATTCCCGGACCCGGTGGCTTTAAACTCATGCCGGGCGCATGTGCATGTCCAAGATCCCGAGGGGTGAATGGGAGAGAAGGGATTGTGGTGTGGCCATGCCTCCCTGGGGGTAATTTCTCGCTTTCTGTCTCTCTGTCTCTGTCTGCCTGTCTGGCGAGCGCATGTGCCCTATAGCAAAAACCTCTCCAAAGAAAAAAACCCTATACTTTCTTATTTCAAAATCAATTTACAGTAAACGTAAAAGTTTAATTCTGGACTCTAAATCCTTTTTCAAAAAAAAATATGTAAATTTACATTTATTACTGTATATCTTTACAATGTACAACATGGTTTTCTCTAGCATGAATACAGTGCATATTATCAAGTCAAAGACATTACCATATACATTATCACCAACAGATAACTTTTCACTTTTGTGTCTACTAAGTTTTGTTTGTTTTTTCCTTAATTTGTTCCCTCTCATCCCTTATTACCTACCCAGAATTACTCCTCCTATACTGTCTCTAGTCTCTATAGTTAACTTCCCTGGTATTATACCTTCCAATCTTTCAGTTTCTGCCATAGAGTGCAGACATTCGATATATATTGAGTGGGGACATACAATGCCTGTCTTTCATAGTCTATGCTTCACTTAGCATTAAGTCCTTCATTTTTATCCACTTTGTGTCAAATGTCAAGTTCTCATTGTTTTTTATGGCTAAGTAGTGTTCCATAGAGTACATGTGCCACATTGTTTTTCAATCCACTTGTGAATTCTTGGACATTTGGGTTAATTCCATGTCCTACCAATTTTAAATAATGTCGCAGTAAACATCCATGTGCAAGTGTTTTTCCAACTCAGTGTTTTCCTATGGGTAGATACCTAAGAGTGGAATTACTGAGTCATATAGTAGTTGTGTTTGTAGGTATCTGAGAGGCCTCCATATCGTTCTCCACAGCGATTATACTAATTTACATTCTCACCAACAGTATGGGAGGGTTTCCTTTCACCATAGCCTCACCAGCACTTATCACCCTTTATTTTTTAAATTTTAGCCATTGAGACTGGGGTTAAGTAGCATCTTATTGTGGTTTTGATTTGCATTTCCATTATAATAAGAGATGTTCAGAACTTTTTCTTGGTAGGCTTTTTGGCCATTAATATGTCTTCTTTGGAGAGTTGTCCTTTCAGCTCATTAGCCCATCTTTAAATTGGATTTTTTCCCCAAGTAAACCACTTTAGTTCCCTGTATATTCTGGTTATGAGTCTTTTATCTCTGATGTAGTTTGCAAATATATTATCCCACTCCTCACTCTCATTAATGTTTGTTTTGCTGTGCAGAAGCTTTTTAGCCTGTAGTCCCATTTGTCTTTTTGGGGGATTATTGCCTCTACTTTTGGGGTCCTAAGAAGTCTTTGCCTATTCTGATGTCTCCAAGGGTTTCCCCTATGTTTTCCACCAGTAGTTTTGTGGTTTGAGGTTTTATGTTTAATTCTTGATCAATTTTAAGTTGATATTGGTTAATGGTGAGATATAGGGGTCCAGTTTTATTTTTCTGCAGGTGGATATCTAGTTTGTCCAGTACCATTTGTTGAATTGATTTTTTTTTCTCACTGGATTGTCTCATGCCCTTTGTCAAAAATCAGTTGGCTGGGGACCAGTAGATGGTATAATGGTTATGTCACTGGACTCCCACATGGCCCACTGCAGTTTGAGTCCCAGACCCGATGACTCCAAACTCATGCTGTGTGTATGCGTGCCCAAAATCTCAAGAAGAGAATGGAGGAGAAGGGATTGCAGTATGACCATCTGAATGGGGTGGGAGTGGGATGATTTGTCATTTTCTGTCTCTCTGTCTCTCTCTCTCTCCAGCAAGCACACACACTCTATAGCAAAAATTTGTTTTAAAAATATCAGTTGGCTGTATGTTTGGTATTTTATTTCTGTGGTATTTATTCTACTCCATTGGATTATGTGCCTTCTTCCCCTCCTCCCATACCATGTTTTTTGTTTTGTTTTGTTTTGTTTCGAGAGGTTTTTGCTATAGGGTGTGTGCGCTCGCCAGACAGACAGAGAGAGACAGAGAGACAGAAAGCGAGAAATCACCCCCCAGGGGGGATGGCCATGCCACAATCCCTTCTCCTCTCGGGATCTTGGGCATGCATGCACAAGCACCCTGTGCGAGTTTAAGCCACTGGGTCCAGGACTAGAACCGCAGTCGACTACTTGGGAGTCCAGCGACATAGCCATTACGCTAACTGCTGGCCCACCACGGTGTTTTGATTATCACAGCTTTGTAATTTATTTTGAGGTCAGGAAGTGAGATGTCTCCTACTTTATTCCTTTTGTCCAATATTGCTTTCACAGTATGGGGACTGTTATGATTCCAGACAAATTTTATGATTGCTTTTTCTATTTTTTTGAGAATATCTCTGGTAGTTTGATTGGAATTACACTGAATTTGCTGATTAATTTAGGTAGGATTTAAGTTTTGATTATACCAATTCTTCTAATCCAGGAACATCTGCAATCTTTCCACTTTTTTTGATTATTTTCAATTTCTTTTTAAAGTTTTTGAATTTTCCTGGTAGAGATCTTTCACTTCTTTGGGTAGGTTTATTCCTAAGTATCTAATATTTTTTTCTGGCTATTGAGAATGGGGTTGCTTTCTTCAATTCTACCTCAGTATGTTCATTGTTGGTGTATAGAAATGTATAGATTTCTGAATGGTGATTCTGAATTCTGTTACTTTAATGTACTCATTTATCACTTCCATGAGTATTTTTGTGGATTCCTTTGAATTTTCTATGTATATAATTATGTCATTTGCAAATAAAGATCATTTTATTTCTTCTTTTCTGATCTGCGTGCCTTTTACTTTACTCTCTTCTCTGACTGCATTGCCTATGACTTCCAGTACTATGTTGAATATGAGTGGAGAAAGTGGACAGCCTTGCGTTATTCTGTTTTTAGTGGAAAACCTTTGAGCTTCTCCCCAATCATTATGATGTTAGCTATGGGGTTGTCACAGATGGCTTTTATTGTGTTGAGGAATGTCCCTTCTATGCCAATTTTGCTGAGAGTCTTAATCATGAAGGGATGTTGTATTTTATCAAATTTTTTTGCATTGATTGATATGTTCAAGTGATTTTTATCTTCCTGTTTGTTAATGTGATATATTACATTTATTGTTTTGTGTATGTTGAACTATCCTTGCATTCTGGAATAAAGCCTACTTGCTCATGGCCTATAATCTTTTTAATATGTTGTTGAATATGATTTGCTAGTATCTTATTGAAAATTTTTGTATCTGTTTTTATCGGGGATATTGGTCTGTAGTTTTCTTTTCTTGT